CTGCACGAGATAGATGAATGCGAAAGGTTTTGACAGCAGGAAAAAGGATTGTTTCGTTCTATTCTGTGGATTACCGTCTGACAGAAGTTAAAGTGTTACTTTCTCATGGATATTTGTTTTCTTTATTCCGAATTGCACATAAAATGTATAATTCTAAGCTAACTAAATTTCCTTCATTTGGTAAAAAAGGCCTAAAATCAATGAAAATAAAAACCGCACACACACAAAATAGTAATGATTGAAATAAATGCAATCCAAGACAAGGCTCGAGGCATACACAATAAAAGAAGTTCTTTTTTTTTTGTTTTTCTTCTATCCAAATTTTTTGTTCTTCTCTTCTCTTGATTGAATGGTAAAAAAACCACGGCAAACAATAAAATATTTAAACCACAAAATGAACAATGAGGCAACAAAGATATCTTCTGCAAAACGTATCACACGATTCTAGCGAAATTTACATTGTTGTTTTTTTCTCTCTGTGTGTGTTTCTTCATCTTTTCTTCTGATACGGCAAAGTAGTTGTTAGTAGCGCTTTACTTGGCAGTTTTACATTCAATCCTCATTGCGTCGTGCCTATTTAAACAATTTCATCACGAAAATAATATTTCTTTTGACATTGTCGTTAAGCAAATAATAAAGAAATGAAATCAAACAAAATGAAAAGAAACAAAGACGAAGAAGTAAAAGAGCACAAAAACAACAACAAAAACGTCTAAAACAACGCACCACACAATGATGATGCGAGAGCGCATGCAATCGAGCCCACTCATTCGTTTTTCATTCGCTCTGTCTCACTCTCATCTTTCAAAACTATCGAATTTCTAAATGCAACGTATAGTTTGTGCGCTTGAGACAGTTGATTTCGATTTGAATTGAAATTACCAGCAAAACGCTGGAACAATGAACACATCATACAAATGATTTAGAAAAAAAACGGCAAAATTTACATGGAACTTGTTATACAAAAAAAAAACAGTGTAAAATAATCTACTGATGAAATATCAAAAAAAAAATGGAATCATACGTTGAAACAGACAAAACCGAATTAAAAAAAATTAATCGTGTTGCGTAAATGTAGTACAATAAAATTTTAAACAATGAATATATGGATTTTTTTCTTACGTGTGCGCACCACATGAAATGTCGTCCTTTGATTTGTCTTGAGTAAAACTGTTATTGAAATAGAATTTTTTTTGTTGTTCCTGTTAAATGATGACCGATGTATGTACGCTTTGTTTGTCAATTATCTTGATTAATTGCTTGAAATCGCAATTTGTAATCTAGCAATGTGTGGGCAAACGAAAATAAATATTAAGTTTCGATTTAATTGTATTGTCGATATTTTATATGGATGTCAATCGCACTCAATTCACACATATATACAGACAAGGCAATTTTCTGCGAAACGAAATGCATCCCAAAAACGAAAGCGAAAAAAAAAGAAGTTGAAATCGATACACATAACATATAAACAAAGTTCATTTTGAATGACCAAAAAACAAATTCGAAAAATTCGTACAACAATAAAACAATCTGTTAATTTCATTAAAATACAATGAAATTCAATTGACTAAATCGATGAAAGGAATACATTTGATTTATACTTCCCAATACAATAATTGTACGATACAGACGAAAGACAGAAAAAAAAAAAGCATACTGTAAATATTATATTTCCATTCATTCGATTTGTGATTTTTGTTTGTTTGCGAAAAAAAAAGAAACGTTTTGAAATCGTTCAATTAAAGTAATCAAATTTCGGAATTTATCGTAAAATGTATTTCCTGTTTTCAAATCTCAAAGATGCTGTCTTTGAGACGAAATTGTAAGAGTTTTCGCTAAACTTGCTTTCGTTTATTTGGTGGTGTTAAACAAATCACCATACGGCCTCAAGCAATTTGAAACAGCAATTTGCCATTGAATGCGATAGGAATGTCTTAATCAACAATAATTTGGGTCGTTTTCTTTTACAGAAATTGCTTTTCCATTGTTATTGAATGTGGACAGAAAAGTGAAAATCGGAAGTCACATGTGTAGTTTTTTTGTCAACAACTTAAGCGTAAAACTTGTTTTTTGAGACCCAAAGTTTTGGCCTCGAGAACATTGTTTTGTGTTTATCTGTTTTTTTTTTCTTTCTGGGCAACAGTTGACATCTCTTCACATTCAATGGAATCTTCATGAATGAGTGCAAGTTCCGATATGCGACAAGCCATCTCATTGAATCGATGAAATCGATATATGGTACCGATGTGATTGCAGTGTGAGATCCTTAACGTGATATTATTTGTTGCAAATCTCTATCTCTCTCTCTCTCTCCTCTTTCTAATACAAATGTTTAGCAATCGGTTTAATGTACCTGCTTGAAATAATACATGTGCTGAAAATCAATACATGTTTTTTGTGCGTGTGTCCGTTTGCTTATATTTCTCGTTCTCACTTTTTGACCCGCAAATCAAAGCGACATATGGATGAGTTGAGTGCGTTTTGTGTGTGTGGCTTTTGGTAACAAAATCGCATTGTGTTCACATATTTTTTGCACTCTTGAACCACAAATTCGGTAAATAAATTGCATCCATTGATGGATAACGAGAAAACGAACAAGGAAAAATTGGACTCTCTCTCTCATTTTTTTTTTGATTGAGTACTATCAGTGGAAACGATTCCATTTATTATTCAAACTGAAGTGCGTACTCGACAGATTTTTATATGTGACCGTAAGCATCTCTTTCCATTTTTATATTTTCAATGCTCGAAAGAGTTTAATGGTTTCTTTCATCTGTTATTGTATAAAAATGTTGGAACCGATGACAAGAATGAAATTTGAAAAAAATATTATATGTTGCATGAATGTGGAAATAATGAAGAATGAAAAAGGACCAAACATATAGTCTGTGTGGATTCAGAATGAAAGTTCAACTGTTTTGAGTGTTGAAATGATTATGCTGCCACAGTTCAGGTAAGTATTTTCCCGCATTTTATCTATTACTTGGATCGTTCCCCATTTTCATTTCATTTAATCGTTTTGATAATCCACATTTTCATATTCATGCAAATATCTTCTTCTGCAACTGAAACCAATTAAATTTCACTTCAGAAGTGCTTAGAGTTTTTTTTCGACAAATCAATTGCGGTGTATATTCGTTGTTGCAATGACTAAAAGGCTAGGCTTTACCATTTTTTTCTTCATAGATTCGAATCCATTCGATGTGAGCAGCTAATATACACACACACTCACACACACACACACGACGTTGATTTAAAAATGGAATAGAGCGAGAGAGAAAAAAATGAATTTGCTTTATCCACAAATCGAATCGAAATCAATAACACACATTTACTCATGCGAAAATTGTATGTGCTCTTCAGGCATACCGATTTTGAAACAACAGCAAATGCACATAGCTATTTCACTACTTGAACACATATGATTTCGGTTTTTTTTTCGCATTCGAATGAAAGCGAAAAACAGAGAAAAATGAATAAATAAACGGTTTCGTACGAAAGAAATGATGCCATCACGTTGGCACATACAAAACCGTAAAACGTATTATGTGCGATATTGTTGCGAGAAAAAATCAAATCGAATCGAAATCAACGGGAAAAATGGTAACAGACGTTGATACTTGAATCGTTCTAAAGATGATTCGCTCGAATGCGTTTGCATACGAATTATATATATATATGAGAAATAAAACGCATATGCACATAAACAATGTACAGTACACACATGTCTCGTAGGTGTTGTTGTCATGCAATTGCTCAAATCGCTGTTGCCACTGCCTTTTTTTCGTTGGGTGTAAGAAAAACTTTCATATCAATGAGTGCGTAAAACGCTCATTTGTGCACCTTCAGTCGCCTCATTTTTGACGCCCGTGCAGAAAACAAGACGCAAAGAAATTCAACCGACAATCGTGCTGATTTAGCCGATAAAAGTCAACAATCGCTTGTTGTTTTTTTGCAAGGGAAAACGTCTCGAATTTTTATTGTTGTTTTTTTTAAACACTTGCTCTTGCATGGCAGCCCATTGCATAACAACATATGCTACTTGTATATTCAACACTTCACCAAATCATTCTAAACAAAATCGAGCGTGTATTCGCATTTTTTTTGTTAAAATGGGAAAAACGTTTGTGCAATGTGCACAATACCGAAATGCTGGATTTCTTTTTGAAGTGCAACTTTTTATTTAATAAAACAAAACTGAATCGATCCAAAATGAATGATTTCGAACACTTTTTACATAATTTGCCATTTGGTTTTCGGAAATAAATCGTTGCGGTCTTTTTAAAATAGCATTCTATTAATTCAGTTTTGAAATAAAATAAAATGCAAAATGTAAGGTGAAATCATATAGGTACAACGCGACTATTCAATAACACTAACCAATGGGCAAATGAGGAACAGTGGATTATTTTCTATATTTTATGATTTTCTACGTTAAAATAGCAAATGTTTTTAATGTTATTTTGACGAAACCTCGAATGTGCTGCTATTAAAAAAAATTATATATTCCACTACGCCCAAGAGGGCCAAAAAAATATGGTTTGAATCACTATTTAAGGAAATAAAATTCGCACAATCAATCAAATGAACAAAAAACGTTGTGGCTCATGTGTCTCATACTTCTATTGACTCAACAGCAGTAGTATGTATTAGTAACATCTAAACAGTAGCCGTTTGAGATTAATATCTTTAGTTGAATTCACTTTTTTGGTGTGTCAATAACCGAACACGCATTCGTTTAAGTAAGAAAATTGTTAAAATCTACGTAAAAATGCTAATTGACATTTCGACGAACTTCAATGTTCGTTTAATTCGTTTTAAATTTTACTAACCTGTCCTCATTGAGGCGGTTAAGCTTATGAAAATGAAATAACCAAATCTATTCAGTAATAGATGTCGTTTCTCGGTCTTTCTTTTCTCTCTATTCTGTAGCTATTTGTATGATGCGAGATTCAGCATGCGCAGCGTCAATTGTCACCGCGACTGTCAAACGATAATGAAATTCAATGTAAAGTGAAGTGAAACGAGAAGAAAGTTAGAAAATGTATACATAGACATAAAAAAAACTCTTTTTTTTTCAATATCGGTTAAATTTAATTTGATTTAATCCCGTACCGTAGTCAATAATTCCACAATATTTGAAGCAACGATTCTAGACATACACAAATAATAAACAAACACTCAGCGGCCAATTTATCGAATAAACAAAAATAAAATCGAGTTTCATCTGTAAAGAGCGACACACGCATAAAAACCAAAATAAACAAAAACAATAGATGAACTTTAGTTGATTAGTATAGAACATGCAAAAATACGAAAAATTGGAAAAAATTGGCGAAGGTTTGTTTGAATGCAATTGATTTTGAATTTTTGTTTTGTCTCATTTTGTATATTTATTTTCAGGTACTTATGGAACCGTTTTCAAAGGAAAGAATCGTGATACATTGGAAATTGTGGCACTGAAGCGTGTTCGCCTCGATGAAGATGAAGAAGGTGTACCGTCGTCAGCACTCAGGGAAATTTGCTTGCTAAAAGTAAATGTTTAAATTTTGGAAAATCTTCATACATATTTATTATTCATTATTTCTATTATAGGAACTGAAGCATAAAAATATCGTACGACTTTATGATGTGTTGCATTCAGATAAAAAATTGACACTTGTTTTCGAGCATTGTGACCAAGATCTCAAAAAGTACTTTGACAGTTTGAACGGTGAAATCGATTTGGATGTGGTGAAAAGTTTTATGTATCAATTATTACGTGGTTTGCAATTTTGTCACAGTCATAATGTTTTGCATCGCGACTTAAAACCACAAAATTTGCTAATCAATAAAAATGGCGAATTGAAATTGGCCGATTTTGGTTTGGCACGAGCATTTGGCATCCCAGTAAAATGCTATTCAGCCGAAGTGGTTACACTATGGTATCGACCACCGGACGTTTTGTTTGGTGCCAAATTATATACAACGAGCATTGATATGTGGTCGGCTGGTTGTATATTTGCCGAATTGGCAAATGCAGGACGACCGCTATTTCCTGGTTCCGATGTTGATGATCAATTGAAACGTATATTCAAATTGCTCGGCACACCGACGGAAGACACATGGCCAGGCGTTAGTCAATTAGCCGATTTTAAACCGTTCCCATGTAAGTCAACGTATGAAAAAATCGTATTATCTATTGCCAGTTCATTCAAATTTTGTTTGTGCTTGATTTTCAGTGTACCATCCGACAACATCGTGGAGTCAAGTGGTTCCACGACTAAATTCCAAAGGTCGTGATCTACTACAAAAACTATTGGTGTGTGTGCCAAAAATGCGAATCAATGCTGAACAGGCGATGGCACATCCATATTTTACTGATAACTGAGACGAACCACACTTAATCCCTTGTCATCCGACTGATTTTATTTCGAAACAACAAAAAAAAAACAACCGACACAAAAATTAAACTTTAGAACATCATTCAACGATTGAATCGAAACCAATTTTTTGTCAAACACATGAAAATTTTGCAATTTTACGCAAATTATGCGTAAGATGTAATTCGAATAGTGGCCATTCCGATCCCATGTTTCCTTCGAAAACGAAACGCAATGATAATACAACTTAATTTATTACGATTGTATAAGCCAATTAATGAATTTCTTGATGAAATAAAATGAAAAACTATTTTAATTTTACACGAAAAAAATTCTTTTCGTTGTATCGGAATTCTCTTTTCGCATTTTTATAAATCAAAAGATAACGAAATGACATAACAGAAATATCCCCCGATAGAAAACAAAAAGTCGAAAATTAAAAGATTTTAAAAATGATGTTTTTCGTGAATCTGGTTTGTTTGATGAATAATAGGTGTCGCCATCTATATGAACCGATTGTCATTGTTCGCTGTCAAAAATAATAAGACGGACGCAAATTCTTAATCGGCGACTCAAAACAGAAATGTTTATTTTGGTTTTGTGTTGTTAATTCTCGGCAAAATTTCGGTGTGATTGATCGCCCTCAAAGTGATAAACATAACAAAATACAAAATGTCAAAACAGTGTCGATTGTGTGCAAAATTCACCGAAAGTTCTATTGATTTATTTCTTCAACATGAAACTACATTGCTGACAAAAATAAATAGTATCTTACCAATAAATGTAAATATTTACTGAATATGACCGTATCGACAAAACAATTTACCATTCATATTATGTATCATTTAGATAACAAAGGATAAAGTATTACCGTCGAAGATTTGCTGCAAATGCGTTGAACGGGCAAATGCAACACACTGTTTCATTCAAGAAATTCTTCTGGCTCAAGAAGTATTCGGTATATCGTCATCTGCTTCAGAAAAGATAGAACCAACGAATAGGTATGCGTCCACATGCCATATGATTAAATTGAATACATTTACAATGAGCATTGTTTTTCTTTCATTTAGTGTAAAATATGGCGATGTAACAATAAGCTCGATGAATCAAACAGCGATACATGTGCCATCGCCAAAATTGCGAAAACACAAGAAAATACAAAATGTATCGGAGACACTGAAAAAATTGAAGAAAATGCAAACGGGTATGACAATATCAAAAACAATCGTACAAGGACCAAAACCAATGCGAAAGTGTAAAACGAAGCCGAAATCATATCAAGAAGAATTCAATGGGGAAGACGAATTTATCAGTATCGATGACGATGATATCTACACTGAACCGGATCGTATGAGCAGCGATTCAGATGACTATGGCAACGACATGGACGATGACGATGACTACACACCATTGAGCAAACTATGTAAAACCAGAAACAAAACGACCAAACCAAATAAACAACTCGACAATTCCAACTCAAATTCAACGGATACATCATCAAAATTTAAGGCCATTAAAATAAATGCACCGCCAGTGTTTCTCTGTATGAAATGCAAAAATCGATTTGAAACACTTCAGGCTCTCAAACAGCACGTGTTTCAAAAAAATGAATGCACAATTGCACAGCTCACGTGTAAAGTGTGCAATAAGACGTTCGATAATAAGAAACGAATGTCACAACACATGAAAACTCACGAAGAAAGAGTGAAATTTATATGTGATAAATGCGGTCACCAATATGCAAATCAATTTAATTTAGAGAATCATAAATCGGCGATGCACGGTGAATATGTGGACGAATTTGAAAATATATACAAATGTCGTTTATGCAATGAAAAATATACAAATCGAACCGATTTATATAGTCACATGAAAACTCATACAAATGATACACAGCGTCAAATCTGCGAAACTTGCGGAAAATGTTTTAACAATACGCATAATTTAAAGTCACATGTGCGTAGTGTCCATCTTGATATACGGCCACATGAATGTCCGCATAATTTATGCAATAAACGATTTCGTACTCGTCTTTTGCTTCGCCAGCATTTACATGTGCACACCGGAATCAAAGAGTTTCAATGCACGGCATGCGCACAATCATTTGCCAAACAGGATTCACTACGAATTCATATGCGAAAACGTCATCCGGATTATCAGCCAAACATCGAACCACCGACCAACAAACCGCCAACCAACGAACCGCCCACAGAACCTGAAAATCAAGCAGTCCCGCAAATCACCACAAACACTAGTACCGAAAATCAACCACCAATTGATGTTGAAAAACAGCTAAAAATTGAAAAAATTGAAAAATTTGAAAAAATGGATGAATCAAATTAATTATACCTTTCTTGTGTTAGTCAAATACAATCAATGGAGTTTTCCATTTAAAAAAAAAATGATTGTTAAATAAAAGCTATGCTAAATGAAATAAAACAGTGGTCAATAATAATTTTATTTGAAATTTTTACTTTATTTTTGTTCCATTTCCTGGCTTTATGATTAATTTCCATTTTTTTTTCATTTGGTTTAATTTCAACTCTCATTACATTGTTATAAATTTCTTTCTTTTTTCTTTTATTTTGATCAATAGAGAACTTTTCTGTGTCCCTGAACCGAATCTGAAACGCTTTCATCGAAATTTTCGGAATGTTTTGGTTCTTTGTCCATAACACTCGCCAATAGCTTATCACCGACGCACGTATGGGATCTTTGAATTTTAGTGGGGCGTCAAAAGATGGTTAGGCAGCATTTCCGCACAATAAAAATTTAACGATGTAACCGCTTTAGATGCCAGGTTTTCTTAAGTTATTAAATTATTATTAACTGAATGTTTTTGTTAATATTTCTCTGATGCCATGTGTATATGTGTGTTTGTGTGAATGTGAATGGGGGTGTTTTGTGTGTCTTTGTGTGCGATGAATTCTTCTTTTTTTTGTTTATTTTTATTTATTTTTTATCTCTCAAATTTGCGATAGTGTTGATCTTTGATGGCCTTATGAATGATTTTTATGAGCCATCATTCTTCATTCTTCAGCGGCACACAATGAACATTCACATTCCATTGGTTGAAATCACGATTAAAATCCGAAAAGGATCTCTTGACTTTGCTACTTAATCAATAAAGAACTGTTGAACGAATATGCTAATCGGATAGCACCTTTTTTTTGCATATGAATGGTTGACAGTAAAAACTCAATTTAACATTCCTTTGGGGGGATGGGGAGCAAGTGTAGAGATGCGAATTCAATTGAGTTTTTATTCACATCCATTCATTTGTATTTTAATAATATAATCATATTCAACAGTGCATGGCAATTATGCGAATGCATTTGGACCAGTAACTGATTGAGAAAATATATCAGGAATCTCATCAAATGAATGCATTTTGGTTTTTCTTCTAAATGTGAACTTTGTGTAGATGTTGTAGTTGCTTGGTGAATATTTGACGAAAACTAACTTAGATTGTTTGTTTCTTCATTTTCTTTGTATTCTCTTAATATTAATTATATAGTTTCGGTATCTTTTTTGTTTTATTGAGGATTAAAAAAATCTCCAATAGCGGTATGGTAGTTGTGTCATTGGTTTTTTTTTTTCAAATATTCTTATCACAAATGAAAGTTGTCGGCGAAGTTGGTCATCAATGGACAAACTCACTATACCGCTAAAGAATGAAAATTCCCCAATGATCTTTCTTACTTTTTCTTTTAACTACATTTATTATATAAATCAATGACTAGTATCTATTACATTTTCATTTCATCTTTAAATGTCGAGTGATTGATCGGTTTGGTATTTGTATTTATTTTTAAAACACCATTTTTGCAAATAGTTATTCAAATTGGTTTTGTTATTGTGTCTTTTTTTAAATATTTTTATAGCTGCGTGCACAAATGTCGTATTTTTTTGGAAATATTGCATTGTTCTTGTGTCTTGTTACGTGTTGAGTGAGAAATGGTGAGAATTATTTAAAAAATAAATGATAATTATGCAAGCTAAATGTTTTTGGTTTAGATTCATATGAATGCGAGTGTACAGCGACACAAAATTGTCAATACTGAACAATTGAAATTGAATTCAATTGATCAAACAAAAAAATATATAGTTAGAATTTTTATTTTCATTTTTTCCCCTTCATTTTTTTTTCATTTAGATATGATGACAAACGGTGTGTTTTGTAAATTATATAAACCGTTGTCAGAGATGGTCAATGCGATCAAATATATATAAATATATGACGATGACTTAGCGGCGAATTTTCTCTTCTGCATGTAATATATATGTATTTGTGAACTGTGTGAGTGAATAATGAATACCCTAAGTGTTTTTTTTTGTCGAAAAACGCGCCTCGAACATAAATTTTAGAAAACAAAGAGAGAGAGAGTTGATTTGTATTATTCCACAGAAATGTAAATCTCTGTGTACACAAACAGATTCATTAATTGTAAATTATTCGCTTAAATTATGAACACGTCATCGTCATCGCTCAACTAAAGTTGATAATTTGTTTCATTTTTTTTTCGTTTAAATTTGTAGTATGGGGGTGAAGGAGAGTCTGAGGTGGGATTCGGGGTCAAGAAATAAAAATAAATTATAAAATTACATACGTGAATGCGTTGAATATATGTGTATTTGAATCCTGGAAAACTAACAACGAGAATTAACGCCATAAAACCATTTCAATGTTCACAAAATTTTGTCAATCCATCAAATTAATTAATTTGAAAATAAACTTCGTTGACTACAACCAACGCTAAATTATGCGGTTTTTTTTCTTTATTACTCATTTTTCATTTTATTTGAATAATTTTTTTTTATATTTTAAATACAATTTTTCTACATGAATTTTAATCATTTTTGTTGTTTTGAAGTTACTCTTTTCATTATGGAGTTTGGAGAGTCGCCATATAGTTTTTGAATCGTAAATTTGATGGTTTTTATCCAATTTTATGTTCTATTAAAATAGCTATTGTGAATTCGAACGATACGTTATTGCATATGAAAATACCATATATATTTTTTTGGATGAGGGAGTATGTTCTCTGGCCAAAGCCTCACTTGATATCAAAGAGCAACGAAATGAGCAACGAAAATCATGTTAAATCTCCCGACAAAATAGAAACAAATATAATTCGTTCAAAAAAACATCATTAGCAGTTAGTCGTTTAGCATGCATCCATTTCACATAGAATAAATTGTTCAATTAAATTACTTCTAGGCTATAATGTTCACAATTCATCTTCATTTTAAATTAAATTTAATAAGTATTTTTTTTATGCATTTGGTTACCTCACCATCACTTTAACTTTCTATCGATAGCTCTCTCTCTTTCTATCCCTCTTTAGATATTTCGCATGATCTCATTTTTAATAAATTTATTGTTTTTTGTTTTGTATTTAATTATTGTTTTGTTGAAAAAATAGATTGAGACAGACGAAAAAACAATTAATAAACCATTTTTTTTACTCAAATGTGACGGTATACGATATGAAAAGGGAGTAAGGGGATGGAGAGTGGGGTTGAATTGTGTGTATTGTGAGAAAGACAGAGCTATTTCTAACGTTTGATTTATTTGAATTTCTCCTCTAACTTTTTCAATTTTCATTTCCTCTCTAAATATTATTTTATCGCGAATTTAGTTGCCATAGGCACAAAATTAAATGCAAATTACGTTACGCTCTGTTATCATCATCAGAGAGGGAATCAGAATATGTTTGGCTTCTGTTATTATTATTATTATTTTTTTGTTGTTGACCATCTTTGTCCACATTTTCATTTTTCTTCTCAAGTATCTATGTTAAATTACAGAAATTGTACAAAAAATGCAAGTTTCTATTATAATAAATTAGTAATTTTTATTTTATTGATTTGTTGATGTTGTTTGGTTTTTTTTTTGTATGTTGTTGTTTGTGTGTATTTGTTCACTAACACTTGTCTATGCGGTTTTTGTTTCTCGTTCGGTCTATGTCGTCCGAATATTAACACAACCGTTCCTGACTGACTGATTTATATCGGCTGCATCCTGCTGTTTGCATTCATATTATACTAATTTCTTTTTTTAAATGTATTTGAATTAGTGAGTGTAAAAAGGTAGGCGTGCGTTTTCGTTCCATTTTTTGTAAATGTCGTGATCGTTTTTTTTTCTCTGTTCGTCAAAATTTTAGTGAAGATTTCACTCATTCATTGTAAAAAAAACGACAGTCGATACCAGCTTTATATAAATATAAATGGATGGTTGTCATTTTTTGGTGATTCAAAACGGATTTCACAAAAATGTTCGTAGAAAGGAAAATGAAAACGACTTAGGATCTGACACGAACAGGTGAATACGAGAAAAAAAGAAATAAGATCATTTTTTTTATTGGTATTCACCTTCTGTGCCGATACTTTTGGTTTGAAATATGTTATCCTCAATCGCTCACTTTTTGTCTATGTTCTTTTTTTCCTCATTTGATTCTTGTCAATATTTGTTAATTCATCATTTTTTTCTAGATTATGCTGAAATGCAAATTTTTTTTTTTAACTTATCGTCAGAACGATTTCATTTTAGTATTATTTTAAATTTTCTTTAATTTTTATAAATAAATTTTAAACACTCAATATCAATATACTGACATAATTGTACGTAATCATCGATACCTAGCATAATCATTTCTTGTCCTTGAAATTTCATTTCCCATTTTTTTTTTCATTATTTTTTTTTCATGATGATGATGACTTCAATTTAATTCTAGTACCAATTATGTGGCATTTTCTTTTCACTTTACTTTTTTTTTTGGTATTTGACTATTTGTTTGAAATCAACATTGATTTGTGAAGTGTGTAATCTCTTGTTTGTATAATAAATATTGTGCATAACAAAAACCATACAATTTGGTTTCTGATGAATGCACTTTATTGTGCCTAACGTCTAAGATCAAAGTCAAAAACGCAGATGATGCTTGTGCTCCTTCACGCGATTCAATTACACATTTCTTTCATATATATTTTTTTTGGCATTCAGCTTATTTAGTGTTGTTTCTGTGAGTGTGAGTGTGCTTTGCATTTTTTTTTTTTGAAATTGATTTTATGATGACTTTTTTGTTCGTTTTGTGTATATTATGCGTTTTCATTTGTTGAGTGTTTGTGTGTGTTTGTGTTTTTGTGGTACATGTATTTCTCTTACTCTTTGGTCTCATTGGTTTACAAATTGTTTCACTTGATTTTTTTTGTTATTATTTTTCTTATTATCGTTATTACTATTTAAATTGCATTATAAATTTTTAAATCATCTATCAGTTTAATATAAATTACCATCTAACATATGAAAAGCCAATGGGCGCAAATATTTTGCGAATTTTGTTTGTTTGTTCATTTTTTTGGTTTTTGTGTGTGTTTTCATCTCACTTTTGACGACATTGAATTTCCGCTCGGCTTTCATTATTGCTTAACAAACATTTGACATCGAATAAGAAAGTAACAATTTAAAATAGAGTATGTTGTTTTTAAATTGATGACTAGGACATGACACTCCCAAATGGGTGACTCAATTTTGACTAATAACACCTATTTGTAATGGTTACTGGTGTGTATGGCCGCCATTATAAGAAAACAAAAAATTAAACTAACGCAAAAGATATAAACAAGAAAAAAAAACAATTGCCGACAATTTACTCATTTGCTTGATTTGTACATTATTTTGGCAGTGTGCAACAAATAGAAAGGGAGAAATGAAAATTTGAGAGTTGTGGTGTGTTTTTTGGGAAATGGAAATTGCTCGTAGTATTGTTTTTTCTTCTTTCTCTTTTTTGTTTTTGCTAAAATTATGATTTTATGAATGTCAAATAATGGGCCAAGGGAGAAAACGATTTTACAAACTATGTTTATGCGATATCATTCAACGTCGCAAAATATCGGCCACTTGGCATTACTTTCATATTAACAAAATACATTAGTTAATCTAAGCATGTAAATTTATAATATTCTTTGTTTGTTTGTTGTCATATTGTTATGTTTTCCATTTGAATGTCTCTCAAATCATTTTTTTGTTGTTTTATTTTGTTTATTATACACGAATGGCAAACGATGCTCTCTATTTCGTTCAATTCATTTTATGATTTTTGAAAAAAGAATGTGATTTTGTCTGGGTTTTTTTCATCATCATCATCAACTTTTTTTTTATCGTTAGTGTTGAGAGTGTGTTTTTGCAAACTTTGTTTTTTTTTCTTTTGGTTTTGTGTCATTGTGTGTGCGCCCGTGTATTTAAATTTGCAACGTGATGCTTTATCAATTATGTCTAACTTTTGTAGATAAATTATTTAATCACTATGTTTGTTTTGTAATTTCATTTTGTTTGTTATTAGCAGTTCTTTGTGTATGAGCTTTTGTGTTTTTCGCTCAAAAATGGTAACCGTTTTTTTAAAAAACCGGAAAATAGGAAAAAAACAATACACTCTTAGGAAATGTGCCAGTTTTTTTGTTTTTTAGCTTTTTCACATTGAATTTGGTTATCAGTGTGCTCTATTCGTCGAGGTTCTATAAATATGAAAGAAAATAAATGAACAAAATGCAATTTGAAATGTTTTAGCCAATCGAGTTGATGTTTTACTGTTGATATTCTCGTAAAATGAAATGTATGGCGTTCAAATGAATCTGAGATAAAGGACAAATATTTAATCAGCCACTGTCACAAAAAAGTTTTTTTAACCAATTTACGTAGAAAAATATCAGAAAATTCTCTGTAAATCACATTGCAAAGTGGGCAAAAAGTCGTTCAGAATGGGCAAAATGTAGGTTTTTATGAATGTGCGAGCTGAAATGAACGCGGAAATATGATATACATTTTGGTAAACTTGGTACAGTTACACGCTTTCACATCTCTGCCAAATTGATTGATAATTGTCATTGAAAAGTTTAAAACGTGAACTTCATAACGAAAGAAACACAACTTTTGAAAACACAATTATAAAGTGAGTTTAAAAAAAACATAAATCAGTCAGCAAACTTTATTCCCTTTCCCGTTTATCCTCAAGGATATTAGGAGCCATACTGTAGATAAGCTGCGTGGAAAAATCAGAGCGTTTTATACTCTTAATGAATGTCATGTGAGAACGATGGTTTATGGTCTTTTATTGGATCACATTTTTTTAAATTATCAACAAATTGGTCGTTCGCTGGCTTCATTTTTCCTGTGTGTGTGTGTGTATGAGATAGGCTCATTTTCGTGCTATCATAAGTTGGAAATGCCCATTTACGGATGGTATTGTTTATTTATTTTTTGCTCGCTTCAAAATGATTGAATTTTCTAAGTTTTGATTCAGTTGCAGATTATTTGTAGATTAGTAGCTGAATAGCTTATAAAGTACAAAATATTGGCACAAGTTTAATTTTGTAAACTGTTTTTCTTTTCTTTCCTCCATCATGCATCCATTCGAAAATATGAATGTGACTGAATTTTAATATTGAATTCTAAAATTCCATTTACATTGTTGCTACTTCAAATGGATTTTCTGTTCATTACTTTCTTAGATATTGCAATTGTTCCATCTACTATTTTCATTTTGAATTAAAAAAAAAAAGAATATGCGACCACCACTGTAAGGTGTGCAGGAAATTGCAGGAACGCATTGTGATTTGTTTTTGTCTCTCTTTCAAATCAAGATTGCCTCTCGCACTGTTCACATTGTTTATTTTTTTCGTCCACATCCAGATTCAATCAATGACGTAAAACATTTTGTAACAGAAACACTTGGCATGCGGATTCGGTGAGAAAACTAAATTGAAAGACACACACAAATCGAAGGAATGTTCTATAAATATTTATAATAAATAGCATATTGGTTTATTGTTTTGACTTGTTAAATGCATGAATTATTTAGCTTGAGATGCTCAATGGCACTGTACAAATAGTTGGATGATGCAACAGCAAAACTAATTCATTCCGAATGTCAGCCAGTCGGTTTATGCGAATATATGAACAAAAAAAAACAACAAATAATTGAGTTTTTTGCACATACATATTCTGTTCATCCGAATACGCACAACGAAATCTGACCGACTATTGCTATTGTAATTCATGAATGCGTATTATGGCTTTTGTTTGGTATTTCTGTTGCGAATCATTTCCATTTGTTTGCTCCTATAACATATCGATTCAGCATTATATTTCGTTTGCATTTCATCACTCTGCAAAATATAGTGGTTTTGCATCATCATTATTATTATTATTGTTTATGTATGTGTGCGATTTCAGTAAAATGCTATTTTTCTCCGGCATATATAGATTATGATGATAACAAACAAAACAATTACATACTTTTTCTCTTATATGAATTTAAAAAAAATAGGTAATAGAAGTTTTGCGCGTTCTTTGCATTTGAACTCTTTGTCACTTAGCGTTGTGTTGTGCATTCGCATGCCAAAAAAAATCTTCAAAAAGAAAAAAAACTTAATAAACAAAATGACCCAAGTTACGTGATGGTTTCAATAGGTAAAGATAAACTCAATTATTTTGTTTTTATCACGATATGATGATGACGAATGTTTACGATCGATTTTTGCTGATTTCTGAATAGATTTTGTTTTTGTTTTTTGTTCTCAGGTGATTTTCTGTTTGTTATCCGTTTTTAGATGGCATCAGATTTTTTTTTTTCGTGATTGGCGTTCATTAATTATGTACATTTATGGTATTGGTGAACGTGTTTTTTAATTTGGCGTGGTGTCAATGTGTAAAGAGTGTTTATGTGTGTGTGGAGCGCATTGCTTGGTGACTCACAGATGGTTCAAAATAATATTTAATTCTAGAACCATGTTGCATCCTATGGCCTATCATTTGTTTTGGTTGCTTCTTTTGACATTCGTCAGAGATATTCTTTTTTCATTTTTATTTTGTTGCCATTAAATATAATAATCAAATAAGATTTCTGGTGTACTCAAGCTACAAGTATGAGTACACGTTATAAGATAGGTACATTCTCTTAAGATTATAGAAAAGTCACAATTTTTTTGTTCATTTTTTTCAAATTTTTTTTTTTGGTTTGTTTTTTTAGACATTTTTTTCTCATATTTTTTTCCTTTGATTGGATGTTGCGAAAACTTTACATTTATATTTTTTTATATATAAATTTTTTTTTATTGAATAAATGGAAACCAAAACAGACGCCCAAGAGAAAAAAAATATATTAAATGAAAGAAAATATATGTAGAGAGTGTGTGTGCAAATTTTCTTTGCATTTTCAATCGATTTATAGTCCTCACAAATATTATTGAAGTTTTTTATGGGCTGTATGATGAATTTTATTTGTTTTTTTTTTAGTTTTTGTTTCAAATTTCTTTCGTCGGATCTTATACGTAATATATAGAATAGCTAATGAAGTAACGTTTCCCTCTTTTCGACTGATTTTGTTTGTGTGTGTTAATCATTTTTGTTTGCGTATGAATTTAATATTATTTCATTATGTAAACATGAAAGCTTTGCTTTTGTAATTTGAAGAATATTTCTGTTCTTCTGAATTCGTTCTGGACGTACGTACCGGGTGGTAAGTTGACAATTATTCGGAACTATAGAAAATCCGATATCCAGATGGTATCGATTTGTGTGTCTGATCAATGGTGCACCGTGGCATGTTGGCACACACACACAGAGAGAGAGTGACAGACACATCAACGATTACCGTAACACAAATGTCAAAGTACCGAATATTTTCAAATCACATTCACTCAGCAGAGCATCCCATGGAAATTAAACAACGACTTTTGGTGATATAAATATAAAATATGTTATAATACATAAATATGCAATTATAATACATAATGGCTTCATGTTTCATTATAATTATTTTAGTTCTTTTCCATTTCATCTGCATTTTTGTTTTTTGAAATAAATGATTTTGCTCCTCATTGACGTGTTGGAACTGATTTTTTGTTGTTGTTGTTCAAAGTGTATATGTTTCATTGGTATGTGGATATTTTTGTTCACTTTGGATTTTCTTAATGCTTGTGTTGTTTTTGGTTTGCTTTGCTTTAGTTTCGTTTTTAATTTCTTGTTTGTTGTTGGTTTGTTCTTATTTTTTTTTTTGTTTTAGTTGTTTTATGTGTGTCTAAATAGGGTTAATTTGTAACATCTTTTTTTTTTTGTTTTGTTCTCTTCATTTTTGTAATTTTGTATGTTGCTTTAGTAAAGACCACAGCCTCGAAGGTTATTTGCTATGATAACATCGGTGACCGCATCAAATACAAACTGAATATTATTGGTATCGGTTGCACAAGTCATGTGACAATAGATTTCTTTTGAGGTGGATTTATTTTTAGCTTCGAATTGAGCTTGTATGTAGGCAGCCGCTTCGCCGTATTCTTGACCGCCTTCATTTCCGGTATGCATCACATACGAATGTCCAATTCGTGAAATGAGAAAATTGAGCGATAGAACGAGCGCGCGCGCACAAACACATACATTGATAAATTCCGGAGAAAACAGGAACGAGAGCGCACATAGAAACATAATCGATACACCAAGTATACGGGAATATGAAGCGAAACACGATTTGAAATAGAAAGAGAAGAAGAAAAAAATAACAAATTAAGAAACCAATTAGAATGTTGAATCATTTTAGATAAATATCGGATGATGTAGCTACAATTGAAATGCAGCACTTACCTGTGTATTCAGGGAAACAAATTGTCAGTGGGCTCTTACGGATTTTTTCTTCGAAAAGATCTTTCTTATTTAAAAATAGGATAATTGATGTATCCGTAAACCATTTGTTATTGCAAATAGAATCGAATAATTTGAGGGACTCTTGCATTCGGTTCTGTAAATGTGAGAAGAGGAAAAAAACCGTACAATTTACATGAAGTCGAATAAATTAATTTACAAATACGAAAAAAAAAAAAACAAAATGTAGAAAATCTACTGCAACAAAATAAACATAAACGAGTAGCATGAAATGATTGCTAGTCTTTGCAATGAAGTAGACTAGAAATTGGCCTTATTTACATGCTATATGTGAACATATGTAAGCAAATGCGCATAAATAATAAAATGATTGCAATACAAACCGTAGTTTCATCCTCATGTAATACTTGATCGTATTCAGACATTGCAACACAGAAGATGATTGCGGTAACATCTTCGAAGCAATGAATCCATTTCTTTCTCTCAGATCGCTGGCCACCAACATCGAATAATCTGCAAAACGTAAATAATTCGTTAAAAACAATCCAACAAATTCCATTCAATAAACATGTGCTGCGTGCCTGAATGAACTTACTTAAAGTTTAGATTCTTAAATGAAAAGTGTACTTCAACTATTCCAGTAGTTTTCACTCTTGTTCGTAAGATATCTTGTTCGGTCGGTTGATAATCTTTAGCTCCTAATCGATCTAAATCGTCCAAGAAACTGTAAATAAAAACGAATGGAAACAATATGGATGGGTTTAGAAGTGTTGCATACGGTTGCATATAAATAAAAATAAAAATAAAAAATTAAATTAGTTCAAATTCAAGTTGGGTCAACCATTTTAGTTCAAATCATATTGGTCAAAGGTTAAGCTCTATTAGAGTCTATGAAATGTCGAGCGTATTTTCATTCGCAACATGCGGTCTGCTTATTGATTTTATGTGTACGTATTTAACCACGCCTATGGCATGACTCGTATGCGGTGCTCCAAACGTACATGCACACATTTTTTATTCTGGCCATAAAATATTGTCGTTCATATTCAAAATGCTATTTGTTCTCTTTTTATCCATGACAAAAACCATTTGCTGCTTCAGAACTTTTTTTGTTCTGTTGAACTTAGAAAGAGAACGAGAGAGATAGAATTGTACATAAAAGTGAGTGTTGTCAATGTTGAAATCAACTGACACTCTCACAATTCAATTCGTAACAAATGCAAATTACGTCAATATCATTTGTGAGAAGCGATACTAAAACTTACTATACGAGAAATCAAAACTTCAAGTCAAATTGAAAATCCATGTTAATCGATTGAAATTTATAATTGGCATCACGAACGGAAATGGAATTCAGAGCAAGAGTACGAAATAAATATGAAACTCATATGAAAAGGATGATGGAAACGACGAAAATCACAATCATTATTCCAATAATAATAAGTTGTCATTGCTTGAATTTCTAATTGGATTGTAAACATAAGGAGCACCAACTGCTTTGCACACGTGAACATGCCCAAAAGGATTCGGATGCATTTGAATCACCGGCACGCTTGAGCGAGGAAGAGAGGCAGTCACACACACACAGAGAGAGAGAGAGAGAGAGAGAGAGAGAGAGAGAGAGATAGATAGAGAGAGAGATAGATAGAGGAGAAAAAGGAAACCATAAACAGTGCACAGTTACATAAAAACCACAGCCATTTAATTGATGTGACGTGAAAACTTTGACATATATTTGTTGAATCGAAATTTGTAATTGGGAAATTGCACTTAGCTAATTGAAATTGGTGCTACATTCGGATAGTTGATAATATTGACACATTTTGTTAAGCAGATGTTTATAATTGGTAACAATTGAAATCAACCTCAACATCACAGAAAAAAAAACAAATTCACCCGATCGGCAACCAGCTGAAGCAACCAAACCAGACAATCATTCACAATGACATTCAATTAGTGGAACGTGTGAGCATGTGAACAATTTACGCACGTCCACTAACACAACAACAACAAAAATGTGAATGCGATACGCACACAAAACGCGAATGTGATAAGTGGAAATAGGTGTGAACAAAACAACAACGACAGAATATAACCGTTACAACAACTACAATAAGAGTCCTTTTCGAATAAATGAAGCACCTTATTATATCAACAAATATCCATTGTGAACATATGCATGAACAGCAAACCAAAAAAAATCAGAATTTTGCCATTTCAACAATCAAGTCAGAATTATGTAGTAAGCATAAAATTACGCATCTAGCCCAAAGTCAGGCCAGCCAATTAATGCATATATCGACATACAATTAATAAAAAGCACGCACTTACTCTCTCTCTCTCTCTCTCTCTCTCTCTCTCTCTCTCTCTGTCTCTCTCTCTCTTGGGTGCATACTCGATTTACACACATTCAGTGCACTGATTACACACTGGCGCAACAAAATATGGAACATGATATTTTATTGATGGCAAATACAGTTACTCTGCATTGCTTTAAATTAACAATGCACGTTATGTTAATCGAAGAGTTTCCGTTTTGCGAGGGCTTTTTTTTCTATTCATTGAAGAACCTTTTTTGTTTCGATATATGTACACATATAGATTTATTTCATATTTTCAGTGTGTATTTGAAAGAGTCATATGAAGATTGCATGGCAAATAATATAAGTTGTTGTACGATTGTGGAAAATGGCGCCATTGGTGCAATCATGTTGCAGACAATGTTCCTTTATATTCAAGTGTCGCCAAATCACATTGGTTAGCTTATGCATTCGAATTTATAATTTAATATCAAAAGATTTTATGCTCACGACTCGGTATTTTGTATGTTGCGCGCCATATGTGTGCTGCGTATCGATACAATCTCTCTTCCCACATTTTCAAATGGGACAAAAAGTTTCCTTATTATTTTTGAATTTTCCTCTCTTATTCGCTTGTGGCATTATCATAACTAGGTTATATTATAATGTAATCATTTTTAATTTCTTTTTTGTTTCTCTCTAGAAAATTATTGGTAAATAGAGAAATTACGTGAACTCCATCATCGGCGCACAAAAGAGCCTTACAAAGGAATGGCGTAATTGATTTACACATTGAGACGAAACAACAAGGGGAACTAAATCGCCGTCTGAAATAATTGCCTATTCAAGATATGAAGTTGAAGCGAACAAAAAAGCATAAATGGCACGAAATAAGAATGTCGAAGTACACGTAACATTTCAATGGTAATTAGTTTTGGCGTCAAATCGCCGCTACTGAGCAGTCGCAATCGCTTTGGCTACAATAGTAGAATTTTTAATTGAATTTTGAATTGGTTCGAATGATTTCAAAATTTCAAAATGTGAGCAAAAACACACACACACAAACAAACAAAATGGAAAAAAACCGAAACGGGTAAATGGGCATTTGTTGTTTTTCAACCCGAAACCGGCTGGACTAACCGTCATTGCCGAAATGCACAAAATGATGACAGAGAGAGAGAGAGAAGGAGAGAGAGGAAAAAACAGCTACAAGAAAAACCACATCAAAGTCAATGCTTTTATAAAATAAAATCGGTTGCTTCTTCATTTTTCCAGTGGTATAATCGGTAAATCTACAAAACTCAAACAGAACAAAGCGGAATTGGACAGCAAATGTAATGCCCCGAGATATAATCGGCATGATATTTTATTTCTCTTTTTTTTCAACTTGTTTCTTGTAGCTGTTTTTTTTTCTGCATTGTTTGTGGTTGCTTTCGACTTTCAATCAGTCAACCGATCAAAGACTAGATTAAGTAAAAATTCTTTTCACTTTTTTTTTCGTGCGCTATTAAACTCATCGCACGGGCATGGATTACTTTTGTTTTTCCATTGCATGGTGGCATATTCCAAACGATTACATAATCGGAACTGTGAACAAGAAAACCGAATGAACTACAAGACGAAAAAGCATGAACACAATGTGAAACAATCGCACAGCGAACAAGCACGATTACGTAGTACTCATCGCAAATATATACATGCAAAAGCGCACGTTCATTCAAACTTCAAATACCGATTCATAAAGCGAATTAAACAGGCCAAATGTAGTGTATGTGCGCACATATTTGCTGGCCGATTAATTCAGTACCAAACGTCTTGTGCGCCACTACAATATAATGATCGATGCCCAATTCCCATTCATAATGATCTGACAAAATAAATGGCAATTAATTTATCACACAAAAGTTGCGTAAAAGTTCATCACACACGCACACAAAAGCTAAATAAATAAATTAAAGCGTCCGATGTGAAAATGAAATTGAAAATGTGATTTTCGTCGTGCCAAGTTTTGTGGGTCAGTAGAATATTTTGTGTGGCTTTGTTGTTTGCCATTCCCATTATGACTAATGTGTCTATCTGGGCGATGAATTGTGCAAAAGAAAAGGCGCCAAAATACAAATAAAACAAAAATCCAATCTCGAAGTTTAGTCAGTCGAGAGCAGTTTTGACAATCAAGACAAATCACTGTTGTTATTGTATATCTATCGCATGGCTGACTTGAAAATCCATTCAACTCAAATTTGATTTTTTTTTTGTTTGTTCATTATTCTTTTTCTTTGTTATTGTTATTGCTACTTATTGAAGTTGGTTGGCAATTGTGAGTGCGCTTTTGACATTATGTCGATTTTTTGTTGTGTGTGTGTGTTTTACAGTCAGTATTTTCTATTCATGCCCGATTGCGCTAGCAATTCATTCTAGTGGCAGATCCGTGATAGGCTTCATCGTGTTGGATGTCATATGTGTGTTTTTCCCGTCTTTCTTTATGATTGGAATACGATTTTTGCGAAATAGAACAAAAACCTAATCAAATGTTCACTTTCATGTAACGATTCATTTGCTTTTCGACCTGCATTTGCAATTCTCACTTGTTTCGTTTTTGTTCGATTTCATGTATTGTGTTTATTTTCATTTTTATTTCGGGCGGGTAGATTCTGAATTTGCACATAAAATTGTATGTTGTGTGCTTGTTTACAGTCGATATGCTTGTTGCAAATATTAATGTGAGTGCACGGAACAGAAACAAAAAAAAACAACAACAACATCAACAACACATTTTTTAAGGAAAAAAAGAAGTCTTACATAACCTTCAATGCGTTATCGCATTCGAGTTTTCTTTGAATAATATAGCTTTTCTTTTGGTTTTAGCCGTTTTTTTTTTGTTATGCGATCGTTAACTAGACAGTTTACAATTTCAAATTGAATGCGTGCATTATTCGCGGTCAGTATTCGCAGAGATTCGCCAGAGCATGTGCCGAATGTAATTGAATATGTAATCCATACGCATTGATAGTGTCCGTTGTGTGGTATCGTCACGGTTTTCTATGCTTCGTTTTTTATTTTCATGTGTGTGTGTGTGTGTGTGCGCGTTTGTTGTGGTTTTTTCTTGCTTCTTTTTTCTTCAGTTTTTGCCGCTGCTGTTGCTTCTTCTTTTTCTCTTCTTCTTCAATCATATCGCTCTTGTTTTTATGCAGTGATTTGATGATTTTGTAATGGGAATTGCAAAACCCAAGACGAAAAGAAGAAACAACGGTGAGCAAAAGAAAAGCACGTTTGTTTACAAGTGAACGCACTGCGAAATGTTTATACATATATGCACAAACGCTCAATAGAATTCATATTTATGGTTTGCAATTGTATTTATATTGCGAATCGATTGCAATTTGATTCGTTACATTAATCGTCTTATAGTTGTTAGTTCGTATAC